GTCGCCTGCTCCGGCCATCTCCGGCATCGTTCGGCACGCGTCGGCACGCGTCGGCACCGACGGAGAGCACCGATACCGCGGCCCGCTCTGCGGCTCTCGTTTATTTACGATGATACCAGCAAAGTTACCTTTACAATTTATATATGTATCTAATTATTACAAATAATTATTATAAGTTATTTCCAAGCTTCTGTCCCTTGACTCTATTTTCACAAAACGTCTTTGTTAGGATTATTTCTTTCACATGCTAATAGTTAACTTGAAATGAAATCCAATTTATATATGTATTATAAAAGTATTTTATTTTCAGCTAATTTACACATAACAACAGGTTTCATAAATAATTACTTAGTTCACTTTGCATAAGGCAACTTGCTCCTGCAATGGGTTTGTTGATATGAGAGGGACTCTCAATGGACCTAAAAATAATTATGTATCAGTTCATAAGTTACAGACATATTTACTAAAAAGAATCTATAACATAATGCACTGTGTATTCAGAACATTAAAAACTGTATGTATACACATATATATTTAGAAATTACCTAAAGTAAAAAGATACTAGCAAAATAGAAAAACACAATAGTATTTGATAGTACATATATTAACTACCTACTATTTGGTGTAGCAAACTTCACAGGTGATCTGTTGGAATTTGGATGATTGTTTTTTTAGGAAAATTTTAAAAATAACACATGAAAGTTAATTTTACAACAAGAAAAACAAACGAAAACAGTTTTGAAAACCAGTGAATAAAAGAAATGTTTAATTTCTTATTATTTTTGGTTAATGACTGGCACTTACCAATACCTACTGGTCGAACAAAACTTTTGGAGTAGAGGTTGTAGAATGAAATCTGGGTGTTTGAGTAACTATTACAAAAAAAAATTATGAGAACTTGTAAATCTAACATTATAAAACAGTATAGTTGAAACTTATGTAAATACCAGTAACACAAAGTTTTTTTTTGGAGGGACAGGATATTTCATTTGCACCTGTTGTTCATCATTCTCAGAATCATCCCTGTCATAAATAACTTTTCTGATTTTCCTCTTTCTTCTTGAATCTCCCTGCTCTCCTTCCCATTCAGTTGCCACTTCTGACTCACTTTCTGCCTTTCTACATTTTCCACAGACTTTAGTCAAATCATTTGAAAAGAATATTCTGTCTATATTGTCTTTCTGCTCACAGTAAACTGTTTAGGGTTTTGTTATGTTATAACTGCTCACAGTATACAGTTTTCAGGTAAGTTTTTGCGTATAATACTGTAAGGCGTGCACAGCATCTGTGCGTGTGTGTAATTTCTCGAATACTAAAATAAGATAAAACACATATTCTCTCTCTATCTATCTCTGTCGTACTTATATGTATGAAATTTCTAGCATATTCATTTAAAACACCTGAAGCAATAATCCATAATATTGATTTTTAAAACTTGATTTTAAAATTCTGCGTATATAAATAATAAATTAATGCGTTTCATAGGTGTTTCATGATAAATATACTGTATATTCATAAAAGAATAATACATTCTCGACTACAATCATGGTTTCTATATAAAATCGTTTATTCCTAAATTTAAAAAAAAACAGTTATTAAACCTATACAATGTCAAATCTAATGCTAGGTTTGTTCAACTAAAGTACCATTCTTTAATCGTTTATATTTGAACTCAGGTTCCTTTCGTTTGCTTGTCCAAGCTTTAGTATCTGTTTTTGACAATATCTTCTCAGGATCCACTGCAACTTCTTTGCATTTCAATAATGTAGCTTTTTCATCTATTGCTACTTCAGTCCTTCTTCTTTTCTGTGGTTTCTCAATTTCTTCTTCAGCTGTTAAAAAGTCTGCTGAAGAGCTAAGAAGCTTTATGCCAGAATTGTCTACATTCCCCTCATTGTTTGTGAATGAATTATGCTTTCTACTTTTTAGTTTAACAGACCTAAAGAAGTTTGATTATATAAAAAACATTAGTTAATATAATTATTATGAAATCAATATTACTTCTCTATTATTTCATCCAGCTTCTTTGCAACATAATTCTGGAACGATGGACTCACTCCAAAGTTATCAAAACATTCTTTTTGCTTTAAATCTTGTCTTAATGATTTGGGCTTTATTATATTCTCTACGTATGCCGAATTACCTAAAAAATACACAACATAAAAAGAAAATGATAATATAACTTGAAAGGTGTTAATACCACATGAGAAAATAAGTCATAAACGTGAAATAATATCTTTTAATCAGTTAATTATTTGTGCTTCATCCAACAAATTTAAAGTTTTATTTGAAAATAAAGGTTAGAACAAGACACAAAAGTAAGGTTATAGTACGTACGAGTTTTGTCCTCAGAATTTTTGGAATCATTGGATTTCATTGTGGAAAAATAAGTATCTTTCAAAAATTCATGATCCGTCGCTTCCTTCAATGCGTCCCTTGATATTTCATCCGCCGAACTGGATGACTCTCCCTCATCGTTTATGTTTTTATTTAACATCGTTCTCTCGAATGATACGAGAATACAAGAGTCAGCAATCGATAGTCGAAATTCAAATTTCAATTCAAACTCGAACCGAAAACGCGGGTTCTAACAGAAATCTGGTACCGCTTTAAATATGTGTAAAGATGTTCTCCTCTATCGTGCAATTGTTTATTAGTAATAATACCTTCGAATATGTAATTAAAAGCATAGGTCTCGAGTGCGTCTCATCAAAAATATTACATCAGAGAAGGGCGTATATGGATACTATATGCATACATGTAATGCTGAATCAACTAACAGCTACAATGTTTCACAATATAAATTACCACGGCAACAGAAATTGATCAGTAATTTGGGGTTCGATTTAATTACAAATGAAGGAAACTGATAGAGACTGAAAATAGGAAAACAGAAAAGAGCGTCCGCCATTTTTATCAATAACCTGTATCACTTTTTCCTCTTGAACGACCGGCTACGGGACATCCTGTGTTTTCCCCAGTTTGTCTTGCTTCAACGTCTAAACTGGACTGCTATTTACTAGCGGTGTCCAGGTTATATAGCCTAGTTATAACTCACCTGGCGAACGATACATTCATCTCAGAGAGCAGCTAATTTTACGAGTTCCTTGTGTATATCTTGTCCGTCCATGACTATAAAACCGTAGGTGGTCGCGACAGACACAAAAATGATGAATGATTGAACGAACCGGACCCCGATCCAGAAAATGTACACGGATATATAGTTGGAAGTGTGCCGTTAAACATAAACAATGATATATTTTAAAATATTATAATTATTCTCTGCTCGAAAAGAAAACACTTCGACTAAATTGTGTCAACGTGTTCAACGACAGATTAACAAGAATTACAGGCGCAAAATTATTTCAATCGTCTTTCTTTTTCTTTTTCCTTTCCTCTGACCTATTCGATGCTGGCTCGAAAAGGTCAATCGTGGAGACGTGTATGTGTGTGTGTGTGTGTTTTGTGGATCTAGAAACTAAATGGACGGGCGAAGTCGAATATTGCCAACGATGTATGTGTGCGAGTGTGTGTGTTATGTGCACGAGTAATGATCGTTCTTTCTCGTCCCCTAATAAATTCATATTCTTAATCTAGATATACATTTAATAATTATATTCTCACTTTGCATCGTCATCTCGTACTTGGTTTTTCTTTTTATTTTTAGTGCGCTTCTGAGAGGTTTCACGTACACTTTTTGTATTTTTTTTTTAATACGTTCCTGGTGATTTCTTTTCCATTCTCCACGGTGTACATATTACATCATTCGGATTAATCGTTACAACCACTCGCGTGTTTATTTCTTCTTTCTTTGTTTTTCTTTTTTTTTTCTTTTTTCGTTCAAACAATACACGTGATAAATGTATAAAATATACAAGGAGCAACGGATTCACGGGTGTACATTTTATACAGATAGAACGGTTCTCGCGCAATCTCTTTTCATTCACTTTGCATTTCCTTTATTGTTTTATTCTCGTCTAAACGTACGGTATACTTATGTCTTCCTCACTCTTACTACCTCTCACTCTCTCTCCCTCTTTCTCTCTTCGCTACTAATGTATCTTTCATGTGTGCAATTGGCTTTTGGCTCACCTGTCGATTTATTATAATTTTCTTATCTGTCTTGTTTGTATAATGACATCGCGTGTACTTAAATTATTACTTAAATATTATTTTACCATTCTCGAGACTCCGTACCCTCAATGTACAGTAATGTTATTCATCCTTCTCTCTTTTTCATCTATCGCTCTCTCACTCACGCACACACACATACACGCACACATGCGCAAAATTTCTCTCACTCTCTTTTTTTTCTGCTAAGGCATTCGTTATGGCAAGTATATTTTAAAAGTGCTGATGTCTAAACGCGCGTGAATACTTAGTTCTCTGTCTTCATTTTTTTTATCTATCCCCCATTTTCCGTGTACCTCTATTTTTTGTTTTTTCGTCTGAAGTTTTCCGCTTCGTTCTTCATTTTTTTTACAGTTTATAAAAGTATATCGGCCAGTTATCGGTAACTTCTAATTATTAGCCAGCTACGTGTCGAATCACTTTGAAAACAAACAGATGTATTCGCTCGTTAGAAAAAGAATCTAATCTGCTGCTTCTCTGTGTTCGTGTATGTGTGTGTGTGTGTGTGTGTATATATATATACGTGTGTATTTGCTTCATCGTCACGTATAAGATTCGATTGCGCCTTTATAAATCATGGGCCACTAAAATTGTTTTGATTCTCTAGAATTCGCATGCAAACGTTCTTTTTTTTTACTTATGCTCGTATTAGATCGGTTATCTGTTGTGTACGTCTGTGTTATATTTGTTTTTCTTTCTCTCGATTTTCAGGGTTTCTTTTATATAGCGGTTCGATAGAATATACATTTTAACCGCCTGGCTAGAGAAAATCAAAAATAAGAAGTAGGATGTACATAAGGTGTACATGTTTCCGTCACAGTTAATCCGTTTTTTCTTATTTCGTCTCTCGTTATTCTTTATCTTCTGTTTTATCGCAGGTTCTCCCTCCTTTTTTTTTGTAAATTTCTTTCGACACAAGAAATTGTCCGCCACCATTTTTTATTTCATGTTCTGTTGTGTGTGTGTGTGTTTTTTCTCTATTGTTCCGTTTGTATTACTCTGACGTAACGAATGAAGACTTTCATTTTGTCTGTGTGTATGCGTGAATGTGTGTAGTATACTAAGTTGCAGACGGTAGAAGTTTCAATTAAACCCTTCGGTCCGAGTTCACGTCCCGGAGTTACGCGTGTTTATACAAAGTGGTGGCATCTGAAACGGGCCAACACCAGCTGAACACCTGAATAACTCGGCTACTGCTCGCGATAGAGAGCACGTTAAGAAAATATATCTTCGTTAATGAATGTTCATTAGTAAGATAAAAAGAAGTACTTCATCATTTTTCATCGTTTAAACATGGAAATTTTCAATGTTTCTAACAAAATAATACTTCTTCTTGAATGAGTTTCGCAAAGAATTATTTAATATCATTAACTGTTTAAAGCTCAGGATGACCTCCTTAGATACTGAAGCTTTTCACTATGTATTATTCGAATAAACTTCTTCTCAACTCTGGTTAAAATATACTATATTAATAAAAAAGAACTTTGTATTCGTTTTCCTTCGATACAAGTAGATATCGATACTTTATTGCGATACAAGTTATGAGTAAAAGTATCGATACCTTAACGGTATCGGTTTATACCTAACACCAGCACCTAACAAAAATAACTGTCGACGTCAGATTATTTCTACCTCTTGAGACCAAACAAGATTAATCCGATGGATTTGTATTTTCTATCGCCAACGGCGGACGACGAGTTACTCTGGTGACCTGTTTCAGACGTCTACACTCTGTACACAGATACTTTGCTCGAGCCACGAGCTGGCCTAAACGAAGTGTATCACTGTACACACGCGCGCGTATACAACTTACATGCACGTGAATACACGTGTCTAATATAGGTTCTGTGGTTAGCGGACAGCTATCGCCCAAAGCGCGCCGGAACACTCTGGCGAACAATAGTGTTTTTTATTTCCTTTCTTTTTGTGTCGTTTAACGCGTTGACCGCCATCGATGGTGTCGCACCTGTCGCCATTAACCCTCCGTAACCCGATAATTGTTTGCCTTGTCTTCCAGAGAAAAACTAACACGACAGTCGCGATGAAATCACTTTCAACACGTTTATAATTCACAGAGACCTCCAATTTGTTCCCTTCACGTGGAATGTTCTTTCTCGATTGGATATCGACGAACACATAAAATAGAGATAATGAATAACACAAGATACAGGTGAACATTGGAAAACACTTTCTGCTATTATCAAACAAAGTATATCGACCTGGAAATTGGAGTGCCACGCGTATATACGACGCCAGTGTCGTATGCATCACTGGCCGCAGATATCACTGCTCAAACTCGTAAATACGTATAAACGATTCGCAGTCAATCGATAATTTTTCGAAATACTTTTGATAACTCATGGTCCACGAAATATGTCAATCGTCTTTTCACACAGAGGAAAACTAAAAGACACGTTTCCGTGAACATAAACAATTGCAATCGGTAGTAGAGCGAACGCCATCTTGCGGATTCCTACCACGAAGGGTTGATCGGTAAGAATTTTCGAAACGTGCTCGATCGCGATATTGACCAAAACGGTAAAAGTTCCGGGGGGATGGCAGTCAACGCGTTAACAAGAAGGTCGATGGATTGGCCAGGTGAAAATTCGACAGCCATCTACTTCCGGCCACCTGTTTGTCTTCGCCGATCGTCTTGCGACAATGCTAGAACGTTAGTTAACCCTACGGAATAATATATACTCTATCGTGTGTTCACGTTGTCGCGGTACAATGTGACCTTGCTAAAAGCTCGTACGAACGTCTGTACAGATCGAATTGTCGATTGCTTGTCGCGAATGGAGAAAGAATCGAAGAAAGAAAAAAAAAAAGAGATCGTTGTCCAGCAACCACAGAGGGCAGTCTAGCTGAGTCTCGTCGCGTATATACAGGGTGAGCCAATAGGAACTACTATCTAAAATAACAAATTACCTATTAGTTATATGAAATAACGTTTTAATAAGTTGTATAGCATTTTAAGGGACGGATCGGATGGATACAATTTGATATTTTTTTTTTAGATATCAAGGTGACCTTAAGTTTTTTACAGTTAATGCATCTTTCTTTTAATACTATCTTGTCAATTCGTCTTTCCATCGACAACAACGTGGTATTAAAAAACAGATGTATTGATATTAAAAAAAACTCAAAGTCATCTTGATATCTCAAAAGGAATAAGATATAAAAGAAATCAAACTGTATCCATCCGATGCGTCCCTTTAAATGCTACACAATTCAATAAAATGTTTTCTGATACAATCAATAGATAAAGAGTTATTTTAGATAGTAGTTCTTATTGATTCACCCTGTATATACCGCAAACCTTCTTTTCTCTGTGTAACAGGAGATCACATATGGTCATATGGTAGT